GGGAGGTCTAGGGCTCTTGGCGTGAACTGGCACTCGGTCTGCCAGTATCACAAATCGGTATTGCCAGACTAGGAGACAGCAAGATGAAAAAGATACAAGAAAACAAGACGGTAAGGTAAGAAGAACTCTGACCTGGTTTGGAACGATTATGGAAAACGAGGACAAAGACGATCCCAGCAGAACGGCACAACACCGCAATGAAGTGACTTCCAGAAGACAGCACTCCTAGGAAAATGGCAAGGAAAGTCAAAGCAGAACAAGTGCTGTGAGCAACTGATATGAGAACTTGTGCGGCGGATTTAACAGAATTCCTGACTACTCAAACCTGCAAGGTCAGTTCAGGGCTGGTATTTGTTGCTGACTCATGCGGCTCTATTTCAGCCCGTAGCGTTCTCCTTTTGGGGCATAATAATTTGGTGTTTGCTTCCTTTAGAAAGAGAGCTCAGAGATTCAAGCAGCTTCTTGGGTGCCAACCATGGCCCCTGTGGTGCACCCGACGTGGTGAGAACGAGCTGTCGCATCCGAGCAGAAGACAACGGGACTCTGCAAAAAGACCCGTCCCGAAATGAGAGGGGGAAAGATTTGAAAGGAATAAAAATATGAATCGACTTCACGTTCTTCAAGGCAGACCATATGAATCTTGAGATCATTCTGACTTGGGATTTTCCTCTTTCTTAGCCTGCGTATCTACTTCCTTTCTGATTTGTCTCTAATTTGTCTATCTGTCTTTGCCATACAGGGTCCAAAGCCACCAAATTCTTTACCGTCAGCACTGAAGCACCACGAGAGTTTTCAGTGGGAGAGGGACGAACAGCCTTCCCGTATCTGCCGCCCAAGCTAAGAGCTGATTCTTGAGAGCTTTTTCTAAAACGCTCTTGCTCTCATGAGACAAGATCCCTGAAGGACTCTGTCTATAACAAGTTAGCAGTAACCCAATGCTAGGTCAGTCTAAAAGGGGGATACAAGGAGGAGAGAGAAAAATGGTGCAATGGGCAGCAAGGGAGGTTTAGGTTGGACATTGGGAAAAACATCCTAGCTCTCAGGGTGGTTTAAAACTGGAATAAATTGCCTAGGGAGGTTGTGGAATCCCCATCTCTGGAGATATTTAAGAGCAGGTTGGACAGACACCTGTCAGGGATGGTCTAGATTGTGCTTGGTCCTGCCTTGAGGGTAGCAGATCGGACTTGATGACCTCTGGAGATCTCTTCCAGTTCTAGTGCTCTATGATTCTATGAAAATTATTTCATCTCTACATTCCTTGGAAGAGCCCTAGTGTACGTGTCACCGGGTCATGGGCTCAGCATTCAGCATAAATTCCCTGTTGTGACTCCCCATGAGTAAGACACCTGGGGAAGCCGTACATGACCCCTCCTCCCAAAGGGACCATTCACCCCAACATCTAGAATCAACAGTGACGCTCACGATGAGGAACAGAGCATAGAACAAATCTCGTTAGTGTAGAAACCGACACGTTTCTGCAATATCCTCAGTGAATAGCCCCAGAACCTGGTTCGCCCTACAATCCCCATCCCAAGAAACTGCCCCATTTCAAGCAACCCACCCTCAATCATGCCCCTTCTCCATGCTTTGAGGTGTCCCCTGGGCAAACCTAGTTTCCTGGCCTGCACCTCTCTCTTTCTTCTCCAATATGTGGCAGTCAGTTGGCTTCTTGAAGCAGCTGGGTCATCAGTTGCTGAGTTACAAAAACACAATCTGAGGATGGTAATCTTGACTTGTCATGACTGCCATTCCCTGGAGCCCTGTGCTGTACTCACGCAACGCAAACCGAGGCCTCAGAGAAAGGGATCAACCAATGTGCATGGACTGGGATAGACACTGTTGTCCTACCCATGACACCCTGTTCTGGTAGTGTCCTGAGTTCCTAACCCTCTGATATTGAGGGTTATCAGATGCACCCACTTGCCTCAGTGCTCTGAACGCACCGCGGGTGGGAGCTGTAGCTGGACCCAGATAAATATAAAACAATCCCATGCAAGGTGAAGCTTGATAAATGTATGAAAGGAATAGTAAGATGGGTCTGTCTGCGATAGCAGGGACTGGACTCAATGACCCAGAAGGGTTTCAATCCTGAATTCTCTGTTCTTTGATTGCATCCAGTTCTGGGGCCCCCACTACCGAAAGGACGTGGGCCCACTGGAGAGGGTCCAGCGGAGGGCAAGAAGAAAAGGTTGAGGAAGCTGGATCACGTGACCTACGAGGAGAGGCTGTGGGATTTGGGCTTGTTCAGTGTGAAGAAGAGTGAGGGGGGATTTGAAAGCAGCCTTCAGCTCCCTGAAAGGGAAGTTTTAAAGAGGGTAGAGAGAGGCTGTTCTCAGTAGTGGCAAAGATGGTGCAAATCTGAACACTTCCCTTGTTCCCCAGACAGACCAGGAGTCCTTCAAATAGTTCCATCACATGGAAGTCTGCTTCAGGGCCCTGGAACTCTCTACCTCACTGGCCATCTCGGTCTGCTTGCCAGCATCCCCCACCCCCAGGCCCTCTCCCTTCCTCTCACAGGACACTTGGGGTGTGTCTAGAATACAGGATTTTGTCGACAAAAGTGGACTTTTGTCGACAAAACTATACCTGCGTCCACACTGCCTTTGAGTTATGTCGACATTACGTCGACAAAACTCAGCAGTTTTGTCGATGTATGTAAACCTCATTCTACAAGGAATAACGCCTTTTGTCAACAGAGTTCTGTAGACAGAAGGCATTATTGCATCTACACTGTCCTTTGCATCCACACTGTCATGTCGACAAAGCGGCTTGCTTTGTCGACAGAACTGGATGTAGTCTAGACGCTCTTTGTCGACAGAAGCTTTGTTGACAGTATCTGTTGACAAAACTTCTGTCGACAAAACCCTGTAGTCTAGACATACACTTGGTGTGCTCTTTTCCGTCCTGTCTCCCGGGATGCCTCCACTTCCAGAAACTGCTCCCCGAGAAACTCATCTCTCCTCCTCTGCGTGCCTTCGGAAAAAGCTCCTTCTTTCAGGTTACACACACACAGGTGGGCCCACTTTTGACAACCTCACTCTCCACGGTGGGTGTTTCAAAGCAGCTGAGGGGACGGTGGCCGCTTGTGTTTGTTTTCTCAGCTCGGTTCGGAGAGCAGAACAGAACGCATTAGGACGGCCCAATAAATCCAAAGACTTGGTTTGTAGTGAAGGCACCCGGCCAAGTTTATTGTTGACAAAGCAGTGCTAGGACGTGGCTCCACTAGACCACTAATATATGTGTGCCTGTAACAACGGAATAACTTTCTGTCCTCGCCAGGCCAGACTAACACATTCCTTCTGAGATGCCACATTTTACAGCAATACAAAGGGTGTGTCTAAACTACAGGGTATTTTCGATAAAAGTGGGCTTTTGTCGAAAGAACTAGACCAGCCTCTACACTACCACCGTGTTCTGTCGAGAGTAAGTCAACAGAACGTGGCAGCGTTGTCGACAGCGGTAAACCTCGTTTTATGAGGAATAACACCTTTTTTCGACAGAGTTCTGTCGAACAAAGGAACTCTTGCATGCAAGCTGTGCTTTCTCGAAAGAGAGCGTCTGCACTTTCGTAAAAGCGGCTTGCTTTTTTGACAGAACTGGTTGTAGTCTAGACGTTCTTTTTCGACAGAGGCTTTGTCGACAGTGTCTGTTGACAAAGCCTCTGTCGAAAAAGGCGTGCTGTCTAGACGTAACCAAACAAATTACGTAGTACTCCTCTGGTGAGGCTCACTAGTTCCCTCGGACATGCTACCACCTATCTTCCTGTATAGGTTGGTTTGATCACAGCATCTCTCTCCATCACCCATCCATCCTCACCTTATTTCCAAAGAAGGCCAATGTGCTCCATGATGAGAGGCTTCTGCTGGACTCTTCCAAAAGTAGCTCAGGTTTCCCATGCTGGGCACCCCCTTTTTATACTATAATTGTCTCTGCATGACCATCAGAGTGTCCATGCTCTTCTTTTATTGGTCTGTGTCCCCGGAAACGTAAGAGACCCCATTTTGATATAGGCCAAGTAAGGTCTATTCTCATTTGCGTTGACACACTGTATCCAGTGATTAATTCAATGCCTGAGACAAATGCACCTTTCTGGTATTTTTATGGTCTCATATTAACCTTCTGGGCAATTTTGTCCAATATTTTTATTGGGGACCTCTTTTCCTATAGCCTTAGAGCACTGGGTCTTGTCCTATGGGAACAAGTAAACAGCTTTTCCTTATTTACTTTCTCCATCCCAATCATGACTTTGCAGACCTCTCTCAGAAGCTCAGAGTTACGCACACCACACTTGCAAACTGACTGGTCAACCACATACTTCATTGGGAACTAGCAGCACACAACCAGGGAGCAGAAGAGAGGGAAAAATGCAAGTACAACATGATACTATGTTAAATGTAAACTACTATAAATAATAAAGGAAACGTTTTTAAAAGTTTTGACAAGGTAAAGAAACTGTTTTTCCACTTGTCTGGTTTAAATGAAGATGGTGAAAAGGGCAGTTTTGAAGCTGCATTCTGTTACGGTTCAGTTGCCAACTTTCAGAAGAACAGCCGGTGGCTGTGTCTACACTGGGCCACTTATTCCGGAAAATCAGCCGCTTTTCCGGAATAAGCTGCGAGCTGTCTACACTGGCCCCTTCTCTACTGTACAAAATCAGCCGCTATTCCGGAAAAACTATTCTGCTCCCGCTCGGGCATAAGTCCTTATTCCGGAACACTGCTCCGGAAAAGGGCCAGTGTAGACAGCCCTGAGTCTTTTCCGGAAAAAAGCCCCGATTGCGAAAATGACGATCGGGGCTCTTTTCCGGAAAAGCACGTCTACATTGGCCACAGATGCTTTTCCGGAAAAGGGGCTTTTCCGGAAAAGCAGCCTGCCAATGTAGACGCTCTTTTTCCGGAAATACTTATAACAAAAACTATTCTGTTTTAAGCATTTCCGGAAATTCATGCCAGTGTAGACACAGCCTTAGTGTTTTGTTCCGAGCTGTGACCATTGCAGAGTCATGAACATTCTCCATTCCCAGGCTGTTCGTAATGCCGAGGTTCGGCTGCACTTCTGCACTGACCTGTGGGAATGCCCAGCCCTGAGATATGGAATATCCTTAGCATCATTCTCCTCAGGGCTTTCTTGACATCCTCATTCCTCAGGCTGTAAATGAGGGGATTGAGCATGGGGGTCAGCACACTGTAGACCACGGCCACCACTTTGTTGACATCCTTTGACTGCCGGGCCGTCGGAGTGACGTACATGAAAATCACTGTGCTGTAGTAGAGACACACCACCGTCAAGTGGGCAGTGCAGGTGGAGAAGGCTTTCTGGCGACCCTTGGAAGATGACATCCGCAGGACGGTTGCCAAGATGTAGGCATAGGAGAGGGAGGTGAGCAAGAAGGAGCCTAGCACAATGATGGCGGCGCTGACGAAGATGGTGTTGGCACTCACATAGGGGTCCGTGCACGACAGGCTGAGCAGTGGTGGGACATCACAGAAGAAGTGATCTAGAACGGCTCCACAGAACTGCAGCTGTCTCACCAAGAAATTGGGAAGGGAGGGGGTCAACAAACCGCACCCCCAGGAACCAAAAGCCAGCCATGCGCATGTCTTGCTACTCATGAGCATTGGGTACCTCAGCGGGTTGCAGATAGCCAAGTAGCGGTCATAGGCCATGATGGCTAGGAGGAAGCACTCGGTGGAGCCCAGGAAGAAGAAGAAGTAGGACTGCGCGAGGCAAGCGGTGAGGGAGATGACCCTGGCTCTGGCCAGGAAGACCGCCAGCAGCTTGGGGACGGTGACCGAGGTGTACCCGATCTCCAACACCGACAGGTTAGCCAGGAAGAAATACATCGGGATGTGGAGGTGAGGCTCTGTCCACAGGGTAAGCAGCAGGAGGATGTTGCCCAGGATGGTGAAAAGGTAGATGAGGAGGAAGAGAGTGAAGAACAAAACCTGGAAATCCTTAGTGGATGGGAAGCCCAGGATGATGAATTCTGTCACTGTGCTCCGGTTGTCCTGTGCCATGGCCATGTTCCTGCCTACGTGGAAAGCAATGAGGAGGTCACCAGAATCCCTGTGAGCAGGGACCACGCGTGGCTGGTCGCGATGACTCGATGAAATTAATGGGTAGCAGGTTTAAAACTAATAAAAGGAAGTTCTTCTTCACACAGCGTGTTGTCAACCTGTGGAACTCCTTGCCAGAGGAGGCTGTGAAGGCTAGGACTATAATAGAGTTTAAAGAGAAGCTGGATAAATTCATGGAGGTTAGGTCCATAAAAGGCTATTAGCCAGGGGATAAAATGGTGTCCTTGGCCTCTGTTTGTCAGAGGCTGGAGAGGGATCGCAGGAGACAAATCGCTTGATCATTGTCTTCAGTCCACCCTCTCTGGGGCACCTGGTGCTGGCCACTGTCGGCAGACAGGATACTGGGCTAGATGGACCTTTGGTCTGATCCAGTACGGCCGTTCTTATGTTCTTATGTGCCTGCTGAGGGTTGGAATAGGACAGTACATGCTGTGGACTTTCTCCTGGGACTGCAGGGAAGCCCTGTCTACACCCAAAATGGAGTTGGTTTCACGTTGCCAGCATGTTCAAATTAGTACAACTCTCCACATGCGGACAAAGCTATACAGCATTCAAATAATTACAAGGGGAATAAATGATGGTGCCGTAGGGCACCCTTGTGTGGTAAGTCCACAATAGGGAATACATGAAAACATAGAAAATATGAGAATCATAGAATCACAGATACTAGGACTGGAAGGGACCTCGAGAGGTCATCGAGTCCAGTCCCCTGCCCTCATGGCAGGACCAGATACTGTCTAGACCATCCCTGATAGACATTTATCTAACCTGCTCTTAGATATCTCCACAGATGGGGATTCCACAACCTTCCTGGGCAATTTATTCCAGTGTTTCACCACCCTGACAGGTAGGAACTTTTTCCTAACGTCCAACCTCAACCTCCCTTGCTGCAGTTGAAGCCCATTGCTTCTTGTTCTATCCTCAGAGGCCAAGATGAACAAGTTTTCTCCCTCCTCATGACACCCTTTTAGATACCTGAAAACTGCTATTATGTCCCCCCTCAATCTTCTCTTTTCTAAACTAAACAAGCCCAATTCTTTCAACCTTCCCTCATAGCTCATGTTCTCTAGACCTTTCATCATTCTTCTTGCTCTTCTCTGGACCCTCTCCAATTTCTCCACATCTTTTTTGAAGGGCGGTGCCCAGAAATGAACACAAGACTCCAATGGAGGCCTAATCAGCACAGAGTAGAGCGGGAGAATGGCCAGACTGGTCAGACCAAAGGTCCATCCTGCCCAGTGTCCCATCGGCCCACAGTAGCCAGCGCCAGATGCCCCAGAGGGAGTGAACAGAGCAAGGAACCATCCTGTGATCCCTCCTCTGTTGCACATTCCCAGCCTCTGACAAACAGAGGCCAGGGACCATCCCTACCCATCCTGGCTAATAGGATCTGTCTACACTAGCCACCCTAATTTGAACTAGGGTGGCTAATGTAGTCATTCGAACTTGCAAATAAAACCTGGGATTAAAATATCCTGGGCTTTATTTTCATGTTCCCGGGCGCCACCATTTTTAAATGTAGTTTGGACTCCCTGCCCGCGGCTACACGCGGCACAGGTTAGGTAGTTCGAACTAAAGCCCCTAATTCAGACTACCGCTACTCCTCATTGCAGGAGGAGTACTTAGAAGGTACTTGGGGAGGAATTTTCTATTTAACCAGGTTATTTTATAATTATCAAATCCAATTTACTTACAATGTTTGTGCAACGTCTCTGACATCTGGGGGGGGGGTCACATGATGGTTTATTGGATGTACTTGCTTGCACTGATTATAAACCGCATCCTCGACAGTGAATTTCAAGAAGTAACCCTTTGATCAGATCCAAAAAAAACCCCAAATAAATAAAAGAGCAAAAATTCCTTGCCTTTTCCATGTTTTAATTTGTGGAATAAAATGAATGCACACAGCAGGAAATATTAACGTCTGTGAATTTTTGACTCTTGTTCTGGACTCAAAGGCTGCAGCATCTTCTCATGCACCTTGTGGTTTCAGGAGTATTTAACATGTAGTTCCACTCTCCAGACGCCCGATTATCTCTCCATCTCCTGGGATGACCTCATTGACTGCATTTGCGTCGAGGGGAATGATCCGATTCGATAACGGGCTCCTTCTGCTAAGTGGAGAGTGAGTCCAGCGATGGCAGAAATGGATTAGCAATGGAATCTTATCCGGGTCCCTTTGGATCTGGACTTTTGATTCATCGTTTAGACCAGAGTCGGAAGAAATCAGACTATAGTGTTGATCCTTAAACCAGAGCCGCCTTCATTCGGCTTTGGTTATTATAGGGGACAGGTAAACCAATACACGAAAAAGACGGGGAGCCCTGTTAGTCTGTCACTTTAAAAACAAGTAGTCCTGTGGCACTTGAGAGACTAAGAAAAATATATATAGGATCATGAGATTTCATTTGAATCGAGTGCTGTCTCTTCAGCCTTAGGCTACATCTAGTTTGCAGGCTTCTTTCGGAAGAAGCTGTTCCAGAAGAGATCTTCCGGAAAAGCTTATTTCAAAAGAGAGCGTCCATACAGCAAAAGTGTAATGAAAAAATTATTTGCTTTTTCGAAAGAGAGCATCCACATTGATCGGACGCTCTCTCGCAGTTAAGTTGTGATTAGTCTGGATGGAGTGGCCACCAGGGGACCTGTGTTATTTCCTGGAACACCCTCTTCTGCATCCACACACATCTTTTATGACGAAGGGGAAAACCCCTCCATTCTTTCGACTTTCTGTCGAAAGAACTCAATGGCAGTGGGGACACAAATATTGTTTTTCCAGAAAAACACTGCAGTGTAGACATACCCTTAAGGTAGGTCTAGACTACATGCCTCTGGCGACAGAGGCATGTAGATTAGGCTACGACGCTCTTTGTCGACGGAAGTTTTGTTGACAGTATCTGTCAACAAAACTTCCGTCGACAAAACGCGGTAGTCTAGACGTACCCTTAGTTGACAGAGGCTTCTGTTGACATGAGAGTGTAGATGCAAAAGACAGTGTAGATGCAATAACGCCTTCTATCCACAGAACTCTGTCAACAAAAGACGTTATTCCTCATAGAAAGAGGTTTACCGCCGTCGACAAAACTGATGAGTCCTGTTGACATTATGTCGACAGAACTCAGCGGTACTGTAGACACAGGTATAGTTTTGTCGACAGAACTCCACTTTTGTCGACAAAACCCTGTGGTCTAGACACACCCTAAGGTGCTACAGGACTCCTTGTCGCTTTTGCAGATCCAGACTAACACGGCTACCCCTCTGATCCAAAAAAGGGCGTGAGTCTCTCTAAGGGATTATATCAATGTTATATAATATTATAAAGCATCAGATTATTGAATACCAGATTTACCCGGCATTGCTCAGGTCCTCAATTCAATTAATTTTTGTTGGGTTTTTTTTTTGGAAAATAACATGAACATGTCCATGGTCCGTTTGAATCATGGCTCTGGAGCGGGGCGGGGCTGGGGAAGAGGGGTGCAGGATACAGGCTGCCCAGGGGAGAGAGGACCACCCCAGCTCTCTCTCGCTGCAGAAGTTTGAAACCAGTGTTGGGGAAATCTCGCTCCCTGGGGTACAGAGTCCCCAGAAAGGTCCGAGGTCGGAGGTCAAAGCAGTGAGGCAGGAGAGAAATCTAGGGGTGTGTCTAGGCTACATGCCTCCATCGACAGAGGCATGTAGATTAGCCAGATCGGCAGAGGGAAATGAAGCCGCGATTAAAATAATCGCGGCTTCATTTAAATTTAAATGGCTGCCCCGCTCTGCCGATCAGCTGTTTATCGGCAGATCGGGGCAGTCTGGACGCGCCGACAAAGAAGCCTTTCTTGATTGGCACAGGTAAACCTGGTTTCACGAGGCATAAATAATAAATAATCGCGGCTTCATTTCCCTCTGCCGATCTGGCTAATCTACATGCCCCTTTCTTGATCGGCACAGGTAAACCTGGTTTCACGAGGCATACCTGTGCCGATCAAGAAAGGCTTCTTTGTCGGCGCGTCACGTCCAGACTGCCCCGATCTGCCGACAAACAGCTGATCAGCAGAGCGGGGCAGCCATTTAAATTTAAATGAAGCCGCGATTATTTTAATCGCGGCTTCATTTCCCTCTGCCGATCTGGCTAATCTACATGCCTCCGTCGACGGAGGCATGTCGTTTAGACGTACCCTAGAAGGAAAACTTTATTATGCATGCATGCAGGCTGACTGCTACCAGAGTGAGAGCAGCAGCAGCCCTGAGAGACAGGTTCTGGGATCCTTAATACAGTATGCTCACACAGTTTAGTTGTTGATTGTTTTCTTTAACATATCAAAGTCTCAGCTGAAGTACTCCGAGAGGTTTCTGTTTACACCAAGTATGCTAGAAGTAAGTTTTATAGAACAAAGGTACATGAGAACCTGAGTGAGGAGTCTACAAGGCAAACTGTGACAAAGATAAGGGTTTACATGACAAATTGTGACAGACTAGGAGTATCCATGAATTTGAGATAGGCATTGTAAGGGTCTTGATTAGAGTTAATTTGATTTCTCTCTGTTACAGGGAGAGAGGCCTGGAAAACTTTTAACCCTTACAGCAGTTTTCTTTTAGGGTATGTCTAGACTACAGGGTTTTGTCGACAGAAGTTTTGTCGACAGATACTGTCAACAAAGCTTCTGTCGACAAAAAGCGTCTAGACGACATCCAGTTCTGTCGACAAAGCAAGCCACTTTTCCGACATAACAGTGTGGACGCAAAGGACAGTGTAGATGCAATAATGCCTTCTAGCGACAGAACTCTGTCATTCCTCGTAGAATGAGGTTTACATACGTCGACAAAACTGCTGAGTTTTGTCAACGTTATGTCGACATAACTCAAAGGCGGTATGGACGCAGGTATAGTTTTGTTGACAAAAGTCCACTTTTGTCAACAAAACTCTGTAGTCTAGACACACCCTTAGAGAGTTTTGATTTCCTGCACAGTCCCCCCTTAGACACAATTGGAGTTTATTTGATTTTTCTCCCACACCAGGTGAGAAACACCTCTCCAGGGACACTGCCCTCCAGTAGGCACAGCCAGGGGAGGGGTGTGTGTCCTCCAGCTGGGGCAGGTCCTGATTCATCTGCCCCCTGGGCTCCACAGCCACAGTGAGGAATACAGCAAGCTGTGCACTTTCCCTCCGCTCCCTAACAAAGGGGACCAGCCAGCAATGTCCCTGTATGAATCAAGAGGAGATTCAGCTCTCTAAAGAGCACCTGGGAGGTGGCAAGCTCAGGGCTGGGGCACTCCCGAGTGGAGGAAAGGAGGTGCCCCCAACCAGCCCCTTTCACCTGCCCAGTGACTCTCTTTCCTGTATGATCGTTGTCCTCAGTCCACCTTCTCTGGGGTACTTGGTGCTGGCCACTGTCAGCAGACAGGATGCTGGGCTAGATGGACCTTTGGTCTGACCCAGTACGGCCGTTCTTATGTTCTTGAACCTCTTAGTGACCAAAATCCAACAGCCGGGGCAGCCTGAGCTCTGGGATCCCCTGGGGGCTGCATCCCAAGAGGTCCTGGTGCAATGCAACAGACAAAAAAAATCTCTGCTCTCGCAGAGTGGATCAGGGGGGGTTAACGAAGGAGCAGGCTGTCCCAGGCCAGCTGGGGCTCTGGTGCACGTCAGCTCCGGGCTGTTCTGTCCCATGCCTGTGCTACCAATAAATAGCTTCTTCCGCAATCTCCTTCCTACTGCTCCTCAGCCCTGCCTTGTGGGTAGCCAGGCTCCTTCTAGGGACGCTGCCATGGAGTGAGATCTGGGGCATGTCGTGTTCTTCTCTGTGGGTCCGGGTCAGCGAGGGCGGTTTGCGCCGCAGGTGAGATCCGAGCTGGGCTCACCGCCCCGGAGACCAAGTTCAGCTCCTCGGCCCCAGAGCAGGGACATCCAGAGCTGGGACCATGTTTGCAGCCTGAACAAGCCGGGAGCAGTTTCACTTTCTGCCCCCATCCTGTTTAGTCCTTCCACCTGCCTGAGATGGGGAAATACAGTGGAGAGTCCGGGAACCAGCTGCGGGATAACCCAGCGACGGGGCGTTATTCACAGACACGCAATGAGGGCAGAATCCCGGCAGTGAAGAGTCTGGTGCAGCAAAGGCAGGAAACATCCGACAAACACCGGCACGGTGAGTCTGTTATTTCAATCCAACAGGTTTACGTGTTAATGTCCTGGGCAGCTTTCAGAATGCAACTCAGTGACAAGAGGAACTCTTCATGACTTGGTAGCACTTTATAGACTAACAAAACATGTCGACAGTATCATGAGCTTTCGTGGGCAAAACCCACTTCTTCTGATGAAACTCCAGTCATCTGAAGAAGTGGGCTCCGCCCACAAAAGCTCATGATCCCATCGACATGTTTTGTTAGTCTATAAAGTGCTACCAAGTCATGAAGAGTTCCTCTTGTCACTGAGTTGCATTCTGAAAGCTGCCCAGGACATTAACACGTAAACCTGTTGGATTGAAATAACAGACTCACCGTGCCGGTGTTTGTCGGATGTTTCCTGCCTTTGCTGCACCAGACTCTTCACTGCCGGGATTCTGCCCTCATTGCGTGTCTGTGAATAACGCCCCGTCGCTGGGTTATCCCGCAGCTGGTTCCCGGACTCTCCACTGTATTTCCCCATCTCAGGCAGGTGGAAGGACTAAACAGGATGGGGGCAGAAAGTGAAACTGCTCCCGGCTTGTTCAGGCTGCAAACATGGTCCCAGCTCTGGATGTCCCTGCTCTGGGGCCGAGGAGCTGAACTTGGTCTCCGGGGCGGTGAGCCCAGCTCGGATCTCACCTGCGGCGCAAACCGCCCTCGCTGACCCGGACCCACAGAGAAGAACACGACATGCCCCAGATCTCACTCCATGGCAGCGTCCCTAGAAGGAGCCTGGCTACCCACAAGGCAGGGCTGAGGAGCAGTAGGAAGGAGATTGCGGAAGAAGCTATTTATTGGTAGCACAGGCATGGGACAGAACAGCCCGGAGCTGACGTGCACCAGAGCCCCAGCTGGCCTGGGACAGCCTGCTCCTTCGTTAACCCCCCCTGATCCACTCTGCGAGAGCAGAGATTTTTTTTGTCTGTTGCATTGCACCAGGACCTCTTGGGATGCAGCCCCCAGGGGATCCCAGAGCTCAGGCTGCCCCGGCTGTTGGATTTTGGTCACTAAGAGGTTCAAGAACATAAGAACGGCCGTACTGGGTCAGACCAAAGGTCCATCTAGCCCAGCGATCCTTTTTGCGGAAGAGGTTTTTGCGCAAAAACCCTCTTTTGCACAAGAACCCTTATTCTTCAAAAAATGAGGTTTACAGGTTCTTGCGCAAAAGGGGTTTTTTGCGCAGAAAAGCCCTGTCTACACCAAAACCTCTTACACAAAAAGGATTGGAAGCAGATAGGCAAATGAGAGCACAAGGAATGCTAATGAGCGCTTCATTTGCATTTCATAGAATCATAGAATCATAGGACTGGAAGGGACCTCGAGAGGTCATCGAGTCCAGCCCCCTGCCCTCAGGGCAGGACCAAGCAGTTTTCCGGAAGAAGGACTTTTGCCCGAACGGGAGCAACATAGTATTTCCGGAAAAGCGGCTGATTTCTTACAGTAGATCGCCAGTGCTTTTCCGGAAATTCAAGGGGCCAGTGTAGACAGCTGGCAAGTTATTCCGGAAAAGCGGCTGCTTTTCCGGAATAAGTGGCCAGTGTAGACACAGCCTAACAGACTAACTTGGCTACCTCCTGAAGCTCCTCTTCATGACTTGTTATCTGCATTTACTAAAACATTTGCCGCTGCTTGGAGGCATTCTTTCCTCCTAGAAGAGGTGTCTCGTCATAGAAACTGGGAAAAGCAAACATTTGTTTTTCTTAAGAACGAGACAACCCTAATGCACACTGATGGAAACAGAAACATTTTCAGCTAAATGAAGGAAACAAACGTTTTGAGTTTTCCAGCGCATGGGTTGTCGTACAACAATAACAGACGTCTCCAGAACAGTTCTGGAGTTGAACCCCTAGTGTTTCTTTGATATAATTTAACAAAAATTATCCCTGACGGGTATCTCAGGCTGACACAGGGTGTGAGCATTAGTATGGTCCAGTAATGGTCAAATCTGACCCTAGCTCCTCCATCACAACAGTGTGTCTTTCTATTTCAAAGGGACACAGGTTGGACCTCTCTGGTTCAGCATTCTTGGGACCTGACCAGTCCCGAACAAGAGAATCTGCCGGACCAGGGGAGGTCTTCTGCCACCGGCCCCCAAGTCCATCGCCCACTGCTGGCAGGCTGCCCCAGCAGGTAACCCTGGCTCAGCCTCCCCCCAACCCCGCTGGGCTCCGCAGCCAGGCACTGCTCACTACCTGGGCAGCACAAGCTGCTCCTGTGCAGCCAGCAGCAGCCACAAGGCTGGGGCTCCAACCCTGGCCCCACCCAGCTGGGGAAAGCCACGGGGCTCCAGGCCTGTCCTGCCAGGGGAAGCCACGGGGCTCATCCCCAACCCCCCAGCCTCAGCCTGACCTCGTACAGCCAGAGAAGCCATGGAGTCCGACCCCGGCGCCACGTTCCTGGGGGCTGCTGGAGGGCTCCAAGTGGTCCTGTGCTGCCCATAACCAGGCTACTGACTCTGTTGTCCTGCCCAGCTGGCCCTACTGCCCTTAGGCTCCTGGGCTCTCTGCTGCAGAAGCATATTGCCGGAGCAGAGTCCTGGATTTTGGGGCTACAACCTGTCCTGGTTGAATGGTAAAACTGAATGATCAGCATTCTATCCACCTCCAACCTGAGCCTGATCGTCAGATGCTGCAGACGAATGCAGCTCCATGGACCATACGGGGTCCCGGCCAATTGATACCCGTGTGGTCACTCACCGCTCCATGTGAGTAGCTGGGATGGGTGCTGGGCATCGTGGACACCCACAGCATGAGAGATTGCGGAGGGGAATCACGGCCGTTCCGTGTATCACTCTAATCCCCACCCCGTCTGTGTCCTTCCCTCCGCAGCCACTATACTGTGAAAGGAGGAAGAAAATGTCCAACGGAAGCACCGTGTCCGAGTTCCTGCTCCGGGGCTTCTCTGATGTTCGGGAGCTGCAGATTTTGTACTTTGTGCTGTTCCTGATAATTTACCTGGCAGCCCTAATGGGGAATCTTCTCATCATCTCAGCCATCACCATGGACCACCGTCTCCACACCCCCATGTACTTCTTCCTGGTGAACCTGTCCATCCTAGACCTCGGCTCCATCTCCGTCACCGTCCCCAAATCCATGGTCAACTCTCTCCTAGACACCAGGGTGATTTCCTACCCTGCCTGTGTCGCCCAAGTCTTTCTCTTTGTCGTCTTCATTTCAACTGATTTTGCCCTTCTCACCGTCATGGCCTACGACCGATATGTGGCCATCTGCCATCCACTGCACTATGAGCAAGTGATGAACAGGAGAGTTTGTGTCAAAATGGCAGCCAGTACCTGGATCACTGGTATTGTCTACTCTGCCATACACACTGGGAACACCTTCATGTTACCCTTCTGCCAGTCCAATGTCATCAACCAGTTCTTCTGTGAAATCCCCCAGCTCCTCAAGCTGGCCTGCTCCGACTCCTACCGCAGTGAACTTGGGCTTCTTTCCTTTAGTGCTTTTTTGGGGTTAAATTGCTTTGCTTTTATCGTTGGGTCGTATGTTCAGATTTTTAAAGCGGTGCTGAGAATCCCCTCGGAGCAGGGCCGGCACAAAGCCTTCTCCACCTGCCTCCCCCACCTCGCTGTGATCTCTCTGTTAATTTGCACTGGGTTCTTTGACTACCTGAAACCCACGTCCAGCTCAGCATCAAAGCTGGATCTAGTGGTGGGTGTTCTCTACGCCGTGGTGCCTCCCATGATGAATCCGGTCATCTACAGCATGAGGAACAAGGAGATCAAAGCTGCGCTGGAGAAATTGATAGTGTGGAGGTTATTCCCCAAAAATTAAAATGCCCATCATTGGTCCTTGATTGTGATTTCATTCTGTGTTTCTGTATAAATAAAATCAACTGTTGACAAAGTTATTTCCGTAAGAACACGGGCTGCAAACTTTTTATGAAGTAATGAAATCAAGGCTAACTTCACTGACATTTAATCTGTTAATTTAGAATCACACCTGTGTGGATAAAATCAGAATCTACATATCTATCCTTAAATCTACCTACACACATATCTCTCTGTCTTAGGGATTTGTACTGGGAACCTCACCATTCTATCTGAGCAAGTTGACAGAAAATCAACAGCCACCGCTACGTCCCTAATGGACTTCAGGAAGTCTCTGCTGCTCCTTTTTTGGGTTAAAAATCTAGTTTGAGGCATGACGGTGTGTTTCTTTGTTTCTTTTTAGTTTTGTTTCATTTAATTGATTTGTTGGTTGACTTTTTTGTTCCAGATGACTTTTGGGAGGTAGGAATTTGCACAGGGGAATTTCCTTGATCGAATACGATATTAAACTGGGCCTACAGTAATTAGACATACAGTTCTGACATACTGGCTATTGACCAAACTCACTGGCTGTGTCTAGACTGGCCAGTTTTTCCACAAAATCAGCTGCTTTTCTAGAAAAACTTGCCAGCTGTCTAGACTGGCTGCTTGAATTTCCGCAAAAGCACTGACTTCCTACTGTAAGAAATCAGTGCTTTTTGTGGAAATACTATGCTGCTCCCGTTCGGGCAAAAGTCCCTTTTGTGCAAAACTTTTGTGCAAAAGGGCCAGTGTATTCAGCTGAGATTTGTTTTCTGCAAAAAAGCCCCAATCGCGAAAATAGCGATTGGGGCTTTTTTGCGGAAAAGCGCATCTAGATTGGCCATGGACGCTTTTCCGCAAAAAGTGCTTTTGCGGAAAAGCATCTGTACCAATCTAGACGCTCTGTTCCAAAAATGCTTTTAATGGAAAACTTTTCCGTTAAAAGCGTTTCCGGAAAATCATGCCAGTCTAGATGTAGCCACTAAGGCCATGTCCAGACTCAGGGGTTTTTTTGGGAAAAGTAGCCTTTTCCCGAAAAAACTTCCCCTGCGTCCAGACTCAAGCCGCGTTCTTTCGAAATTATTTCGAAAGAACGCGGCTTTTCTTTCGATGGCGGTAAACCTCAATTTATGAGGAAGAATGCCTTCTTTCGAAAGTTCCTCTTTCGAAAGAAGGCGTTCTTCAATGTAAAGAGGCCGTCTTCGAAAGAGAGCATCCAGACTCGCTGGGTGCTCTCTTTCGAAAAAGTGGATTTCTCTTTAGAAAGATCCGCCTGCAGTCTAGACGCGATCTTTCGAAAGAGGCTCTTTTGAAAGATACTTTCGAAAGAGCCTCTTTCGAAAGAAGCCTGCAGTCTAGACATAGCCTAAGTAAGCCAGTAGCAAAACAATGAGCTAAATCTCATGGGAGTTTGGTACATAACATTTGTTGAAGGCTTGGGCTCAAATCAAGTTCTTTGGAATTCCTAGTGCACTAACTTCCTTCCTTGCATTACATTCCTTTAATTGTTAAGCATGTAGAAGAACATAATTTGTTGGACAAAAGTCAACATGGTTTCTGTAAAGGGAATCATGTCTTACTAATCTGTTAGAGTTCTTTGAAGGGGTTAACAAACATGCGGACAAGGGGGATCCAGTAGATATAGTATACTTGGATTTTCAGAAAGCCTTTGACAAGGTCCCTCACCAAAGGCTCTTGTGTAAATTACATGGCCATGGGATAAGAGGGAAGGTCCTTTCTTGGATTGAGAACTGGTTAAAAGACAGGAAACAAAGAGTAAATGGTAAATTTTCAGAATGGAGAGGGGTAACTAGTGGTGTACCCCAAGGGTCAGTCCTGGGACCAATCCGTATGTGCAACCAGGCTGAAAGCTGGGGGTACAGAATAAAAGTTACATCTGCAAATATGACCCCATATAATTATTTCAAATATGGTCTTAATAACAACAAAACATCCAATTACAAACATCGATGGATCCCTGCTATGACCTGGAGCTGTCGCCTCACACACTGATGTGTTGTGTGCAGCAGAGTTAACTCATCCATGTAGAACCCACCACACCGTTTCATTGGCCACCATTGTCCACACTCCCCTTGTATTAGGGGACACACACCTGAGACTGCTGGTGGATTTTTCTTTTCTGTTCCCTCTCGTGTCTTCTTTCTTCGTGCTGTGATGTCCCATGTTTCCCCCAGAATTCAACCCTTCACCCCAGTTTCTGTGTTCTGAGCTGTGGGATTTAGTCTCCTGCCCTGTCCAAACTTATTTTAAAGCCTCAGGAGAACATGACATCTGTTCCCCCTGCCTTGGTGGGAGACTCCTTATGCCTACTTATCATACACAATATTTTTTAGCTCTATGGACGACGGGTTGGAAGTAGTGGTTGAGCATGGCCTTCTGCCCGAAGCGTCCAGCTTCCTGTGATGGAGGCCTTTCATCTTCCCCTGGTGGGCTGGCTCCTATCCTCTGTAGCTCGGTGGTTTCCTCAGCCTTGGAGGTCTCCATAGGCATGTTTTCAATGATGCTGCCTGGGCAAGGATGCTTCTCAGCCTAGCCCCATCCTTCAGTTTGCCCTCCTGCTGCCTGGGAGATTCTACACCCTCAACTCCATCCTGAGACCTTTCCAATCCCCCATCCTTCTACTCTGACTCTTGCACTCCCCCAGACCAGCCCTGAGGCTCCCTCCTCTACCCCCACCTCCACCTTTACTCCAGCACCCTCCACTCTACGCCCTAAAACCCCCACACTTCTAATCTGCCCTGACTCCTTCAGCCCCCATGCCCTATATCCCTGCCTTGACTCCTGCACCTTCAACACATCTCAGAGCACCCTGCCCTCAACTCCCCCACACCTCCCAGACCCTTATCATCAGCCCCCTGCTGCACTATGCAAGAGTGATGAACAGGGGAGCATGTGTCCACATGGCCAGCAGTGTCTGGATCGCTGGCATTGTCAACTCTGCCCTACACACTGGGAACACAGAGGGGCTTAATGACTTCTTTGTTTCAGTCTTCACCTAGTGAATGCTAGTGGGAAGAGGTAGGAGGTAAAATTAAAAAAGAACAAGTTAAAAATCACTTAGAAAAGTTAGATGTCGGCAAGTCACCAGGGCCTGATGAAATGCATCCTAGAATACTCAAGGAACAGATAGAAGAGATACCTGAAGTAGAAAGGGAAATAAGAACAACCGAGGAAACTACAGACCAGTCTAACTTCTGTGCCCGGGAAGATAATAGAGCAAGTAATTATGGAATTCATCTGCAAACAACTGAAAGATATTAAGGTGATAGGTAACATCAGCATGGATTTGTAAAGAACAAATCATGTCAAACCAAACTGATAGCTTTCTTTGATAGGATAACGAGTCTTGTGGACAAGGGAGAAGTGGTGGATGTGGTATACCTAGACTTTAGTAAGGCATTTGATAAGGTCTTGCATTATATTCTTATCAATAAACTAGGCAAATACAACTTAGACAGGGCTACTATAAGGTGAGTGCATAACTGGCTGGATAACCGTACTCAGAGAGTAGTTATTAACGGTTCACAATCCTGCTGGAAGGGCATCACAAGTGGTGTTCTACAGGGATCTGTTTTCGGACTGGTTCTGTTCAATATCTTCATCAACCATTTAGATGGTGGCGTAGAGAGTGCACTTATTAAGTTTGCAGATGATCTCAAGTTGGGAGAGGTTGCAAGTACTTTGGAGGATAGGGTCATAATTCAAAATGATCTGGACAAACTGGAGAAGTGGTCTGAGGTAAACAAGATGAAGTTTGACAAGGACAAATGAAAAATGCTCCACTTAGAAAGGAACAATCAGTTTCACACACACAGAATGGGAAGTGACTGTCTAGGAAGGAGTCCTGCCGAAAAGGGTCTAGGGGTCATAGTGGACCACAAGCTAAGTAGGAGTCAACAGTGTGACGCTGTTGCAAAAAAAGCAAACATGATTCTGGGCTGCATTAACAGGAGTGTTGTAAGCAAGCACAAGAAGTCATTCTTTCACTCTACTCTGCACCGATTAGGCCTTATTTGGAGTATTTTGTCCAGTTCTTGGCACATTTCAAGATGTGGAGAAACTGGAGAAGGCCCAGAGAAGAGCAACAAAAATGGTTAAAGGTCTCGAGAACATGAGCTGTGAGGGAAGACTGAAAGAATTGGGCTTGTTTTGTTTGGAAAGGAGAAGACTGAGAAGGGACATGAGAGCGGTTTTAAGGTATTTAAAAGGGTGTTGTCACAAGGAGGAAGGAGAAAAATTGTTCTCCTTGACCTCTGAGGATAGAACAAGAAGCAATGGGCTTAAAGTGCAGCAAGGGAGGTTTAGGTTGGACATTAGAAAAAACTTCCTAACTGTCAGGGTGGTCAAACACTGGAATAAATTGCATAGGGGTTGTGGAATCTCCATCCCTGGAGATATTTAAGAGTAGGTTGGACAGACACCTGTTAGGGACGATCTAGACGGTGCTTGGTCCTGTTCTGAGGGCAGGGGACTAGACTCAATGACCTCACAAGGTCCCTTCCAGGTCTAGTGCTGTATGATTCTAATATCTTCAGGTTACCCTTCTGCCAGTCCAACATTATCAACCATTCTTCTGTTCCACTGATTACAACGTCTTCCGTCTCTCTTAGGCCCCCAACCCTGAAATATGCCCCTCCCTCACCCAGCAGATGTCTATGTCTCTATGAATGCCTTTCAACTGGGGGCATCCAAACTATTTTTTCCATCTCACTGACCATATCAACAGGGGCACATGCCCCTCTCCACTGCAATTTTATCAACTTCCTCTCCTCCCAAACAGAAAAGTGCACAGCATCTCTTTGGCCCATCCAAGTTCACTCAACATCTCAATGTCAACCTGCTGCCTCCGCTTCAGATTCAGGGGCCGAGAAAATGGATCAGAAATTGGTGAATGAGGTCAGATCCCCAGATGGTGTAAAGCAAAGTGGCTCTTGTTGAAATTAAGGGACCAAATCTCCACATAGCGTAAACAGCCCCAACTGCAAATGTGAAAACGTCCACCGTTTAGGACGTCATACGGATATTTCAGTCTTTGCCTCTGACTGCTTCTGGGGCTACAGTCTAGACAGCACGCCTTTTTTGACAGAGGCTTTGTCGACAGATACTGTCAACAAAGCCTCTGTTGAAAACGAGCATCTAGACTACAACCAGTTCTGTCGAAAAAGCAAACCGCTTTTTCGAAAGAGAGTGTAGATGCTCTCTTTCGAAAAGCAGTTTGCACGCAATAGTGCCTTTTTTTTGACAGAACTCTGTCGAAAAACAGCACTATTCCTTGTAGAATGAGGTTTTCCACCATCCACAAAACTGCCGCATTCTGTCGATTTACTGTCAACCGAACGTGGTGGTAGTGTAGATGCTGGTATAGATTTTTCGACAAAAGTCAACTTTTTTCAAAAAAAACCCTGTAGTCTAGACACCCCCTCAGGGTACGTCTAGACTACAGGAAGTTTTGTCGACGGATACTGTTGACAAAGCTTCTGTTGACAAAGAGCGTCTAGACAACATCCAGTTCTGTCGACAATGCAAGCCGCTTTGTCGACATGGCAGTGTAGACGCAAAGGACCGCGTAGATGCAATAATGCCTTCGGTCAACAGTATTGACAAAAGGCGTTATTCCTCATAGATTGAGGTTTACCGCCGTCGACAAAACTGCTGAGTTCTGTCAACATTATGTCAACAGAACTCAGGTGTAGTCTAGACGCAGGTATAGTTTTGTCGACAAAACCCTGTAGACTAGATGAAGCAAAATGCCTGCATTTTGCTTCAACTACCCCAGACTAACACGGCTACATTTCTATCACTGTAGAATAGACACGCCCTCACTGATGAATATCAAACATCCGGGGCAGTCTGAGCTATGTGTTCTTCTGCTGGCTGCATCCCAAGAGTTGCTGGTGCAGCGTCAGAAAGAAGAAAACTGTATCCTCAGAGCGGATTCTGTGGAGTTAATGAAGGACTAAGCTGTTCCAGACCAGCTGGGGCTCTAGAGCCATTAGGCTCCGAGCTATTGCAAGTCTCATTCCAGTGCTGCCCATATATAGCTTGTTCTGAAATCTCCTTCCAACACCCTTTGGGCCTGAGCCCTGCTGTGTTTGTAGCTGTGGTGCTTCCAGGGATGCCGGCATTGTGTGCAATCCGGGGAAGGATACCTGGTGGAGGGGTAGGAAAACAGCCACTGGGTAACACAGACAGGCAATGACGGAAGAATCCTGGCAGAGAAATGTCACCTGCATCAGAACCTGGAAAACGTTCTAAAAAGCCCAGAACGGTAAGTGGGTTATATGTCAACTGTAGGTATTCATAAACTTTTCATAGAATTTAACCCAACATGTAGAACTGCTCAGCAGAGGTGACGGGGGGGAGGGATTCACTAGCAGAAAACAGGTGACTCTTCATCGAAATGATGAAACCCCAATTTCCGATAGACTGCTAAAAACTGAAACATTGTCGCCAAAACTAAGGTAGAAAAGAAACGTTTTAAGCTTTCCCGTACATGCCTTTGGTGCCACTTCCCCACAATATTCCTGGAGTTGAAAAGCCAGTTTTCCTTTGAAAGAATATAAACAGAAAACGTCTGAAAACCCCATGTGGAAAACAAGGTAGGGACGTTAATATTGAACCTGGTCACTCTAGTGCACTGTGTGTGTTTCTAGTTTACAGGGAAACATGTTGAACAGAAAAACTGAGTAAACAGCAAAGTGGGCAACACCCAACATAGATGTTACACATCCTGGTGCCTTTCAGGGGAACGATGAATGGAAGCTCCCAGCTGCAAATTATCTCTCTTAACTCTGCCCATGGATATGGAACACATCGATGGGGTTAGAATTCAGAGCTCTGTTCTCGTACCGTATCCTCTCTCTGAGATCGTTGCTGGTTAACCACAAATGGGGCACCAAAACTACAAATGATCAGACACAGCCCATCCCACAAACACCTCTGGTCCTAGCAGACGAGGCAGAGAAAGGGAAGGGAAACAGAGGCACAAGGAGAGCCGGTGACTTGCCCAAGGTCACATGGCAGATCAGTGCCAGAGCCAAAAAGGGGACCCACGTCTCCTGACAGCCCCGACCCGCACAGACACAAAGGGACCGAGGGGATGACATAGCCGAGAGGCAGCCATGTAATGCTCCCAGCCCATCAGTGCATGGAGCTGGAAATAATGGGACCTTGTGTCGGAGCTCAACACCCGAGTCGGAAGCAGATGTACAGGGTGCCGGGTGAGTCATTGCCCTAGAGCTGCCATGCAGGGCACTGGGTCGCTGCGCCGTGTATTTCCCCCACGTGTGGTTTTCAGGCATTTCAGCGTTTCAGTTTCCTGCCTGTATCTGGAGCCGGCTGTTTGTAGCAAGAGGGGATCTGTCTCGGCGAGAGTGGTTGTGTTGGGATTGTGCTTTGCTCCATCCTTCACACGGCATTTAAACCAGCCCAATCCTGAGCCCGATCTTTGCTGCAGACGGACGCAGTTCCATGGACTGAATGGGAGCCAGGCCAATAGACATCCGTGCCGTAACTCACCACTCCTAGGGAGTAGCTGGAATGGGCGCTGGGTATGGTGGACACCCACAGCATGAGAGGTTGTTGCAGGAATCAGGGCCAATCCATGTATCACTCTAATCCCCACCCCGTCTGTGTCCTTCCCTCCACAGCCACCACACACTGAACTGAGGAAGAAAATGTCCAACCGAAGCACCGTGACCGAGTTCCTGCTCCTGGGGTTCTCTGACGTGCGGGAGCTACAGATTTTGCATGTTGTGGTATTTTTGGCTATTTATCTTGGAGCCCTGTTGGGGAACCTTCTCATCATCACAGCGATAGCCCTTGACCACCGTCTTCACACCCCCATGTACTTCTTCCTGATGAACCTCTCCATCCTGGACCTCGGCTCCATCTCTGTTACGGTCCTCAAATCCATGGTCAACTCCCTCCTGGACACCAGGGTGATTTCTTATGCTGGGTGTGTAGCCCAAGTCTTTCTCTTTGTCAACTTCACGGCAACTGATCTTGCCTTATTGACCATCATGGCCTACGACCGATATGTTGCCATCTGCCACCCACTGCACTATGAGAGAGTGATGAACAGGGGAGCTTGTGTCCACATGGCCACCAGTGCCTGGATCACTGGTATCGTCTACTCTGCCCTGCACACCGGGAACACCTTCACGTTACCCTTCTGCCAGGTGAACATCATCAATCAGTTCTTCTGTGAAATTCCCCAGCTCCTCAAGCTGGCCTGCTCCGACTCCTACTGGAGTGAAGTTGGGCTTCTTGCCTTTAGTGTGTTTTTAGTATTAAGCTGCTTTGTTTTTATCATTGTGTCGTACGTTCAGATCTTCAAAGCGGTGCTGAGAATCCCCTCGGAGCAGGGCCGGCGTAAAGCCTTCTCCACCTGCCTCCCCCACCTCACTGTGATCTCCTTGTTTACTTGCACTGGTACCTTTGCCTATGTGAAACCCACCTCCAGCTCACCATCAGCTCTGGATCTGGCGCTGGGTGTCCTCTATGCGGTGGTACCCCCCTCAATTAATCCAATCATCTACAGCCTGAGAAACAAGGAGATCAAAGCTGCATTGAAGAAACTCATTGTGTGCAAGTTATTCATGGAGAATTAAAATGTCCTTCATTGCTCTTGGTCTGAAATTTCATTCTGAATTTCTTTATAGCTGGGTGTGTCGCAGCATACGAATTTATAGATATAAATAAATAGATTGATAGATATAATCAATTGATGACAAAATTGTCCTTCAAGAACATTGCATACAACCTGATTAGTACATCGTAAAATCAGACTAATTGCCCAGATGTCAAATGAGTTCTTGAAGAATTACACTAGTGTGAATAAAATCAGAATGTAAATATTTATCCATGCACATCACCTCATCGAATCGAATCAAATCGAATCTCGTCTGTCCGTCCGTCCGTCAGACTACATGAAGTCCTTAGCTCTTCTCTTATTTGGTAAAAAATAGCGTTTGTATATGAGAGGTTCAGCTAGTGTGTTAGTCTGCTTGGTTCTTTGTAATTTTGTTCATTGCTTGGCTGATAACTTTTGTATGGGTGGAGGGATGGTGCAGTATGTTTGACTAAATGGCAATATTTGTTTATTTAATGCCTACTGGAGTGATCCATGTCATAGTATATTTAATGGGGTTTTCTGAGTGATTTGAACTTTTGCTTGATGAAGAAAAGGTTTCCGTAGATGTCTGAATAGTTGAGTTCTTGTTCAAAGCATTATTTCAATTCTGATGGGATTTTTTGAACTATTTATAATGTATTGGAGCATCTAGGAGTTACAGAATTATAAGCAGATGCATCCAGCATTGCTTGGGTTCTTTACTCTTTTTTGGGGAAGAAGCACGGGGTTAGGAGATGGGGTGGGTATGCGGTTGGTGAAGAAGTGGAGGCAGCGGTTTAGGAAGTATGGGAGGGACAGAGGGCAGGGTGTGGGGGCCAAGGCAGGGGGCTAAGGGTATGGGGAATAAAGGAGTCAGTGCTTCGGGGTGAGAAGGGCTCAGGGTGGAGTCTGGAAGGTATTGGGGGCTCAAGGCAGGGGGTTGGAGGCTCCGGGAAGGGATTGGGAGCTGTGGGGGTGGGGGGCTAACAGCAGGCAGCTCAGGGTTGGAAGGTTGAGGGATATCACCAGGGCCCCATGTTATGGAGATGGTGGTGCTCAGTTATTATTTCTGCAAATATTTCTTACTCCATTGCTCTTTTCCAAGTGCCTCAGGACATGCATTGTCGGTGAAGTTTGAGCATTTTAACAGGATATTTTGACATGTTCTGTTTCTTTTGCCTTTTTTAAATACATGGGATGGCTGTAATTATTTCATGATTAAAAACAAAGGGACAACTCCTCAGTTGGTCTACATTGTTGTACCTTCTTGTCCAAACCCTCTTTCGATAGAGGGATGCAAATGAAGACATTCAAAATTACAAATGAAGCCGGGATTTACATATCCTGCACTTCATTTGCATAACCGCATTATGGTGCTATTTCGAAATAGCTGTGTAGATGCGGTTATTTTGGGAGAACACCCTTCCTTCAAAATAACTGTTAAACCTCATTGTATGAGGAATAAGGGTTATTTCAAGGGAAAGGTGTTCTCCTGAAATAACTGCATCTACACCGCGTTTGTTAATTCGAAATAGAACCATAATGCAATTATGCAAATGAAGCGCAGGATATGTAAATCATTTTCTGTAGGAATCACTCTCTGTGAGGACACTAACATTGGTCCGTCTGTCCTGCCACAAGATGGCCAATATTATCCTCAGGTACCTTTTGGTGGAATTTCTCTAGATCTTTAATATGGAGTCTATAGGGAGTCTAGGCTTCAGCTCCATATAACAATGTTGGAATGACTACAGGTTTGTAGTGTCAATTTTGGTCTGCGTCTTGATGTCACGGTCATCAAAGACTCGCCTCCACAAACATCCATAAGTCACACTGGCATTGGAGACTCAGTGGCAGATTTCATTATCAGCAGGTCTTGACAAATAGTGTAATCTACTCGCCCGTGGCAAGTAGATTACACCCCAGAAGAGCCGGCGCGGAGCAATCTCTGCATGCGCAGAACAATCTGTGCATGTGCAGAGTGCAGAATCATGCGGCTGGCGAGTGGGGCTTGCCGCCGCTCGGTGAGCCCTGATTATCAGTGTCAGCATTGCTGGACAGATAGCTTCCGAGATAGGGAAAGCTGTTGACATTCTCCAGCTCTTGGTCATGCTCCATGATGGTTGGTTTGGACAATGGTATGGTAGGTGTTGGCCAAAAAAGAACCTTGGTCTTTCATGCATTGAGTGTCAGTCCCAACCTGTGGCAGTCCATGGCAAAAACGTTGCCGATTACTTGGAGATCATCTACTAAGGTGGCACTGTCCTGGGCATCGTCAACATACTGGAGTTCTACCACTGACGTTGTTGTGGTCTGGGTCTTGGCTCTGAAGAGGCTACCACCCATCCTATAGGTTATTTAAACTCCGCCTGGGAGATCATCTCCAATAATCTGGAGCATGGCTGCCAAAAAGATATTAAATAGCATAGGTGCTATCACACATCCTTATTTGACTCCAGTCCTTACATCAATTGGTTCTGTTGTGTCACCATTATTGAAACTCATGGCCTGCATGTTGTTGTGTAAGAGACGTATAACATTGACAAATTTTGGTGGACGGCCAAAGTGTCACAGGATCTTCCAGAGGGCCTCATAGTTGATGGAGTCAAATGCTTTAGTCAAATTGAAGAATGCAATTGAAGAGGCCGATGTTGCTCCCGACACTTCTATTATATTAGGCTGGCAGAAAGGATCATGTCAGTCCTTCCTGCTCTGGTTGGAAGCCGTATTGTGACTCTGGAAGGACTTCTTCAGCCACTGAAAGGAAATCGTTGAGAAGGACTTGGGTAAGAATTTTACCTGTGGCTAAAAGCAAAGAGTTCCCTCGGTAGTTTCCACAGTCCATCCTGTCACCCTTCTTAATGATGATCACTATGATGGTGTTTCTGAGCTCACTGGGTATGATTTCCTCTCTCCAGATCACCAGAATGAGGGCGCATAGGCACGGCAGTAGGGATGGACCTCCCTGTTTGAATACCTTGGCGGGGATTCCATCAGGGCCTGTGGCCTTGTTGACTTTCATCTTTTTTATGGCGGCTTGGATCTTGCAGATGGAGGGTTCACAATCCATATCAACACAGACAGGTCAGCTGGTGATCACATTGCAAATGCTGTTGTTGACAGTTACGTCACAGTTGAACAGTTGGCTGATGTGTTCCCGCCACCAGCTACTGATGCCATCTTTGGTCTTAACAAGTGATGTCCCATCTCCTGATCGTAAGGGAGTGACACCCTATTTTGACGGTCCATAAGTTGTCCTAACAACACTGAAGAACTCATGACAATTTGTCTCTCCACCAATTGTTTGTAAGGACTCTAATTCTTTATGGTACTTCGGCCTTGGCAAGCTTATAATCACGTTTCTTCTGCTGGGACAAGAAGTTGCTATGCCAGGCTTTGAGGTCCTTATCGTTAGCATCACACCAATTCTGGTTCTCTCACTTGGTGTAGCCAAGGGTTTCACCACAAGTTTCCAGGACAGCAGTTTTCAGAAAGGACTATGCCTGGAGACTGTCCTCTGGTGGATCTTGGCTACCGCGTTGTTGGATGAAAAGCATTGTTTCAGGGTCCTTCAAACCCCCCGTGTTGTTCTTCTTGCTGTGGTTTCTTCGGGGTAAGAACATGCTGTGGTGCTAGTCTGAGTGACATAATGGAACATATTAGTCGGTGGCCAGTCAAGCAGTCATCAGTATTGATGACTTGAAACGATTCTTCGGCCGGAACAGGGTGTTCGTTACAGCAAGACCTAGAAGGGGGTCCCAGCGCCAAAGGACCCCAACTGCTGCCGGTGGCTTCTCACACTGCTTCTGAGGTCTATGCCTTGTCTCACAGGCCAGAGTTGGCCTTTGGGAGTGGAGTAGCTGAAGGGGTGCCTCTAGGGTAGGTACTGGGAGAGCTAGGCCTCAAAGGGGCTGGGTCCTGAGCCTCATGGTAGGGCCACTGGAATTGTGGCTGCCATTGGGGAGGCCAGGTTTCTGGCACCACAGGACTACAGTACTGGGAGTAGGACGGGACCAAGTCATGGAGGCCATTGACCACACCGACTCCACCTCCAATTCAGACAAATAGTCCAATGCCAGCCAAGATGGAGGAGCTGAGGATGGTGCCGGAGACCAGTGTCATGGTCAGTGCTGCGACATAGCCTCTGGCTTCCCACGGTGGACTAGTGCCGGCGGGTGCACAGGTTCGAGGGATGGCCCTGGTCCCACAGGCTGTGCTGGTACCAAGGGTGCAAATGCTCAGATGGCCGATGCCGTGGGAGACGGTGCTGTCAGAGCCACTGATGCTCTTGGAACTGGGGTGCTTTCTGCCTGCCCGGCATCGAAAGCCAGTGCCAAACCTGGTGATGACATCAGCTCAATAAGGGGCCAGAGGAGTCCATCATCGGCGGCTTTATCGGTATGTGCTGCACCGGACTTGCCCCTTGTGCCAAGGTAGGTCAACATTGCAAATGAGGCAGGGATTTAAATATCCCTAATTTGCATAAACATGGCCACCATGTTTTGCCGACTCAGCACGTTGTTGGCAAAAAACGGCAATCTAGAGGGGGATCGGTGGAGAAAGAAAGCCTTTTTCGACAGATCCTGTAAACTTCCTTGCAGGAGACATAAGGGACCTGTCAAAAAAGGCTTTCTCTCTCACCAGATCCCCCTCTAGACTGCTGAGTGGGCAAAACACGGTGGCCATTTTTATGCAAATTAGGCATGGGATATTTAAATCCCTGTTTCATTTGCAATGTTGACCTGCCTGATCTGCATCCTTCTGCCGATAGGGGGATGCAGTCTAGACATACCCTGTGTGTGAAACAGATTCCTTCCTAAGTGGAGCACTTTGCATTTGTCCTTGTTAAACGTCATCCTGTTGACCTCAGACCATTTCTCCAGTTTGTCCAGATCATTTTGAATTATGACCTATCCTCCAAAGCACGTGCAACCCCTCCCAGCTTCGTATCATCTGCAAACTTAATAAGCGTCCTCTCTATGCCAATATCTAAATCGTTGATGAAGATATTGAACAGAGCTGGTCCCAAAACAGACCCCTGTGGAACTCCACTTACGTGTTTCTTAGAGGGATAATTTGTCTCAGTGGCTTCATTTCCTTGCTGGAGATAGCTAACACAGTAGCTCATTCAATAGTGTCAAATCCCAGTTGATTTTGTTGTGGACTTTTGTGGAATGAAACCTGCTTGCAGCAATGGTGAAAGGAGCCTTATAATAAGTGGATTGTCACTCATGCAGAAACCAAGGTGTGTGGGGGGGAGGGCGGGGGAGGGAAATGAATGAATTAAACAGTCCTCACATCCCATTGCATCTGAAGAAAGAAAGAAAGAAAGAAAGAAAGAAAGAAAGAAAGAAAGAAAGAAAGAAAGAAAGAAAGAAAGAAAGAAAGAAAGAAAGAAAGAAAGAAAGAATCAATCATCCATCCCAATACTAAATATATTATGAGCCACAGAAAAACTTAGCCACACTGAATTTCTGCAAAGTTCAGTCTCCAGTGGGAATGAATTGCTCCTTAGCCATGATAAATTACACTCTCCGGTTAACCCCCCGTGTCAAAGAACTGAGATCATGCAGACAGGCTTGGGACTTTTCTCTCATCTTCAGTTCAGTTTCACCAGCAAAGAATATGGATTGAAACTGAAAAATGAGTCACGTTGCCAGCCGGGGTAAATCAAAGGACTGCGTCTCCACTTAACAGGGATTAGTCGGAATTCAAGGAGACTGTATCAACTGACATCACTTCGGGACGTTACACTGAGTTTCCCTCTGGCTGCTTCTGTGTGACCAAAATCTAACACTCAGGGCAGCCTGAGCTGTGGGAAGCTCTGGTGGGCGCATCGCAAGAGCTGCTGGTGCAACACAGGAGACAAAACATCTCTGCTCTCCAACAGCGCATTGTGCGGGGTTAACGAAGGAGCAGGCGGTCCCAGGCCAGCTGGGACTCTGGTGCACGTCAGCGCTGGGCTGTTCTCTGTCACGTGCCTGTGCTACCAATATAAAGCGTCTTCTTCAGTCTCCTTCCCACTGCTCCTCAGCCCTGCCTTGTGGGTAGTCAGGGTCCTTCCAGGGATGCTGCCATGGTGTGAGATCTAGGTCAGCTAGAGCACAGTGCCAGGGCAGTTTGCTCTGCAGGTGAGATCAGAGCTACGCTCACATGCCTGGAGACCGGATCAACGACTTAGCCCCCAAGCGAGACATCCTGAGTTGTGGGCATACTCACAGCCTGAGTAGCCAGGATCAATTTCTCAGCTGGGGTTGGGAGGATCTCTCTTCAAGTCCTATTTAGTCCGTCACCTCTCGGCCAAGCCTACCCAAGATGGAGAAATACAATGGAGCGGCAGGGAGCCAGCTTCTGGATAACCCAGTGAAGTGGCATTATTTACACAGACACGCAATGACGGCAGCAGAATCCCGGCAGTGAAGAGTCTGGTTTAACACAAGCTGGGAAACATCCCACAATGCCCGGCACGGTAAGTTTTGTTATTTCAGTCACACAGGATTAGGTGTTCATGTCCTGGGCAGATTTCATAAAGCAACGGAGAGGGACGAGGGGAACTCGTCACAACGTATGATATGTATTTATTGAAACATTTCCTACTTTTACTGAAACATTTTGTGCTGCTTGGAGGGTTGTTTGTTTGTTTCTTTTTTCTTCGCCTCACAGCAGCCAACAGTTGACTTGTCATAGGATTTGTAAAAACCAAACTTTAGTTTTTGTTCAATAAGGCTACGTCTACACTGGCACGTTCTCACGCAAAAACTCTTTTGGTGAAGAGTTCTTCTGCAAAAACTCTTCCACAAGAGCGCGTCTACACTGGCATGTGCATTTGCGCAAGAGACGTGCTTTGGGGCAAGAGCATCCATGCCTCAGCTGGATCAAGAAAGATGTGGAGAAATTGGAAAGGGTACAGAGAAGAGCGACAAGGATGATTAAAGGTTTAGAGAACATGACCTATGAAGCCAGGCTTCATGAACTGGGCTTGTTTAGTTTGGAAAAAAGAAGATTAAGGGGGGACATGATAGCGGTTTTCAAATATCTAAAAGGGTGTCACAAGGAGGAAGGAGAAAATTTGTTTCTCTTGGTTTCTGAGGACAGGACAAGGAGTAATGGGCTTAAAGTGAAGCAGGGGAGATTTCGATTGGACATTAGGAAAAAATTCCTAACTGTCAGGGTGGTCAAATATTGGAATAAATTGCCAAGGGAGGTGGTGGAATCTCCCTCTCTGGAGATATTTAAGAACAGGTTAGATAGACATCTGTCAGGGATGGTGTAGATGGAGCTTGGTCCTGCCTTGAGGGCGGGGGGCTGGACTCGATGACCTCTTGAGGTCCCTTCCAGTCCTATGATTCTATGATTCTATGCCAGTGTAGACGCTCTCTAGCACAAGAAAGCTCTGATGGCCATTTTAATCATAGGGCTTTCTTGCGCAAGACATTCGTGTTGCCTGTCTACACTGGCCTCTTGCGGAAGAACAGTTGCACAAAAGGGTTTATTCCTGAGCGGGAGCGTCAGAGTTCTGGTGCAAGAAGCCCTGATTTCATACATTAGAACGTCAGTTTACTTGCGCAAGGACACGCGCCCAGTGTATACAGGCAGCAAGTTTTTGCTCAAGAGTGGCCGCTTTTGCACAAGATCGCGCCAGTGTAGACACAGCCTCTGAGCCAGAAAATATTAGCTAAGCCACTAGAAACTGAAACATTTTCAGGTAAATTAAGGAAAACAAATGTTTTGAGTTTTCCGATACACAGGCTTTCTTTCAAGAGTAACAGACTTCCTCAGATTTTTTTGAGCTGAAACCCCACTGTTTCTTTGATACACAGCCAGTCCTCGAGTTACGAACGTATCAACTTACGACTGTTCGTACTTACGACCAACCTCCCATTAAGCACATTACAGTGGGTCCCCGAGTTACGAACAGCGCGGTCGCATTTAAATGAATGGGGTCCGACTTACGAACAAATTGAGTTACGACCAAGTGGTTGGTACGTAACTCGTTCGTAAGTCGGGGACCAGCTGTAATTTAAACAGACAATGTCTGATTATCCCAGACTGGCATCTTAGATTGGGTGGGAACATTGGCATAGATTATAATAGTAACATCTGGACCCAGACACTCTATTGCAATGGTGTGTGTATGTCTGTTTACTTGCGGAATGGTAAGAATGAATAAGCAGCAAAGTTGGTAACACTGCACAGGCATTGAACATGCTAGTGCCTTGGATGGAGAACAGTGAATTGAAGCCCCCAACTAAAGCCTGTATCGCTTAACTCTGCCCAAACCATCGGGGAGGGCAATGAGATTAGCACCTAGAGAGTCGGCTCTAGCACCATATGCCGTCTTTACTGCTGCCAGCTAACTACAAACGCTGCAAACAGGGCACCAAACATACACACAGGACACAGTGCATCCCTCAGCCAGCCTACAAGCTCAGCCGACAAAGCGCAGAGAAAGAGAGGAAAGGGAAACAGAGGCTCAGCAAGGGCACATGACCAGCCTGATATCTCTCGGCAGGTCAGCAGCAGAACCAAGCAACCATCGGGGAGGGCAATGAGATTAGCACCTAGAGAGTCGGCTCTAGCACCATATGCCGTCTTTACTGCTGCCAGCTAACTACAAACGCTGCAAACAGGGCACCAAACATACACACAGGACACAGTGCATCCCTCAGCCAGCCTACAAGCTCAGCCGACAAAGCGCAGAGAAAGAGAGGAAAGGGAAACAGAGGCTCAGCAAGGGCACATGACCAGCCTGATATCTCTCGGCAGGTCAGCAGCAGAGCCAAGCACAGAATCAAAGGGTACATCTAGACTACGGGCTTTTGTCAACAGAAGTTCTGTCGACAGATACTGTCGACAAAGAGCATCTAGATAACAGCCAGTTCTGTCAACAAAGCAAGCCGCTTTGTCGACATGAGAGTGTAGACGCAAAGGACAGAGTACATGCAATAACGCCTTCTGTCAACAGCACTCTGTCGACAAAAGGCATTATTCCTCGTAGAATGAGGTTTACCGCCGTCGACAAAACTGCCGAGTTCTGTCCACATTATGTCGACAGAATTCGGCAGTAGTGCAGACGTAGGTATATTTTTGTCGACAAAACCCTGTAGTCTAGACACACCCAAAGTGTCCTAATGACCATGGAGTGGCACCAATTCAAAGCAACACAGGCCGTGACACGGCGGAGAACTAGCTGGGTGGTGTTACTAGTCCATCAGCACACAGATGGAAATGGGATGGTGCAACTCAAAACAGAGGCAGCAGGACGTCTATACGGTGCTGCACTGGAATGTGATAGAGGAGCTGCCATGCAGGACGTTGAATCACTAGGTGTCACATTTCTCTGGAAAGTGGATTTCGGGCAGTGTCGGTATTTTAGTTCCATGCCTGTGTCTGGGGCTTGCTGTCCCCACCAAGAGGGAGCCCTCTCGGATACAGCTGTTGCATGGGGATTGTGCTTTGTTCCACCCTTCACGCACAATTTCATCTAGTCACATCCTGAGCCATCCCTTGATCTTCAGATGGTGAAAACGGTTGCAGCTCCATGGACTGAGGAGCCAGGCCAATGGACACCCATGTGGTAACTCAAAAGTCCTAGTGAGTAGCTGGGACGGGTGTTGTGGTTCGTGCACACCCACACCAGGAGATCTGCAGGGCATCGGGGCCGTTCCCCGTCTCACTCTAATCCCCACCTCTGTCTGTGCCCTTCCCTCTGCAGCCATCACACCCCTTGCTGAAGACGGAAATGCCCAACCGTACCACCGTGGCCGAGTTCCTTCTCCTGGGGTTCTCCGACGTGCGGGAGCTGCAGATTTTGCACGTGGTGCTGTTTCTGGTGCTTTACCTGGCAGCCCTGATGGGGAACCTTCTCATCATCACAGTCGTCGTCTTAGACCATCATCTTCACACCCCCATGTACTTCTTCCTGGTCAACCTGTCCATCCTGGACCTCGGTTCTCTTTCTGTCACCGTCCCCAAATCCATGGCCAACTCCCTTCTGGACACCAGGTCAATTTCCTACCCTGCCTGTGTCACCCAAGTCTTTCTCTTTATACTCTTCCTTGTAGCTGATCTTGCCTTGCTCACTGTCATGGCCTATGACCGATATGTCGCCATCTGCCACCCGCTGCACTACGAGAAAGTGATGAACAGGGGAGCTTGTGTTAACATGGCCGCCAGCGCCTGGCTTGCTGCTATCGTCAACTCTGCCCTGCACACCGGGAACACCTTCAGCCTACCCTTCTGCCAGGCCAACGACATCAACCAGTTCTTCTGCGAAATCCCCCAGCTCCTCAAGCTGGCCTGCTCCGACTCCTACCGCAGTGAAATTGGGCTTCTTGCCTTCAGTGCCTTTTTAGCTGTGAATTGCTTTGCTTTTATCCTTGTGTCGTATGTTCAGATCTTCAAAGCGGTCCTGAGAATCCCCTCGGAGCAGGGCCGGCACAAAGCCTTCTCCACCTGCCTCCCCCACCTCACTGTGGTCTCTCTGTTAATTTGCACGGGGTCCTTTGCCTACCTGAAATCCACCTCCAGCTCAGCAACAAAGCTGGATCTAGTGGTGGGTGTTCTCTATGCCGTGGTGCCTCCCATGGTGAATCCGGTCATCTACAGCCTGAGGAACAAGGAGATCAAAGCTGCGCTGAAGAAACTGTGGATTTAATTCACCAAAAACTAAAATGTCCGTCATCGCTCCTTGACTGTGATTTCATTCTGAGTTTCCTTCTGAATACAATCAACTGGTCACCAGTTACCTTCATAAGAACACGGGCTGCAAACTTTTTATGAAGTGATGAAATCAAGACTAACTGCACTGATATTAACTGTGTTAATTTAGACTCACACTCGTGCAGAATCTAAGTGTCTCTCCATAAATCTTCCTGCAAACCTATCTCTCTGTCTTAGGGTATGTCTACACTAGCTTCTTAATTCGACCTAGGTAGGCAAATCAGGCGACTGGAGTTGCAAATGAAGCCCGGGATTTAAATATCCCAGGCTTTATTTGCATGTTCACGTTCGGTCGCCATTTTGAAATTTCACTAGCCCGAACTCAATGCCGCGCGGCTACACGCAGCAATGAAACATTAATTCGAACTAAGGACTTAGTTCGAATTAACTGTTACTCCTCATGGAATGGACTTAGTTCAAATTAACGTTTCACTGTCGCGTGTAGCCACACGGCAGTTAGTTCGGGCTAGTGAAATTTCAAAATGGCGACCGGACGGGAACATGCAAATAAAGCCCGGGATATTTAAATCTCATGCTTCATTTGCAACTCTCGTCGCCTGATTTGCCTATCTAGCTAAAATTAACGAGCTAGTGTAGACATACCCTTAGGGATTTACGCTGCAAACCTCACCGTGCTTTCTCAGCATGTTGCACAGAATATCCACCGCCACAGTGAAGTCACTAGTGGACTTCATGAAGTCTATGCTGCTTCTCCTTATTCGGGTTAAACATTGGGGGTGGGGGATGAGAGTTTGTGTGCTTGAATCTTTTTTATTTTGTTTCATTTTATTGATTTGTTCGTGGACTTGTTTCTTTGTTCTAGATGACTTTTGGGAGGTAGGAATTTACACGAGTTGATCGAATGGGGACATCAGGGTTTTTAACATCTATTCAAGATATCGATGTCATAATATCTTCGAAGTTTTGCTTTCCCTTAGGATGAAGAATTAAAGTTTCTGGAGGTATCCAGACAGCTGAGTTCCTGTTCAAATGACTATTTTAATACTGATGGAATTGTATTGTATTATTTAAGATGTGTTAGGGCAACTAGATCCTTCTATAAGTATGTGTACTCTCTTTTTTAAATAAATACATAAACAAATACTGTAATAAATAGCTTCAAGAAATCTCAGAAGCCAATGGTTAATTTTCACTATGAGTGAACACCTATGAATCGCCTAAAGCTAAATGTAGGGTTGAGTGCTTTTTTGGGGGCCAGAGGGGTTAGGAATATAGATGCGATATTAAACTGGGCCTATTGCAATTAGATATACAGTTCGTAAGTACTGGCTATTGCCTAAAGTCACTAAGGAGACCAGTGGCAAAACAATGAGCTAAGTCCGATGAGAGTTAGGTACATAAAATTATTTCGGGGATTGGGCCCAAATCAAGGTGTTTTGAATTTCTTTCTAGCACACTAAGGGTATGTCTAGACTTCATCCCTCTGTCGCCAGAGGGATGTAAATTAGATGTACCAAAATTGCTAACGAAGTGGGGATTTAAATATCCCGGGCTTCATTAGAATAAAAATGGCCACCGCTTTTTGCCGACGTGGCACTTTGCTGGCAAAAAGTGGCAGTCTAGATGGGGATAGGTCGGCAAGGAAAGACTGATCCTGTAAACCTTGTTGAACGAGGCATAAGAGATCGGTCAGAAAAGGCTTTCCTTGTCGACCGATCCCTGTCTAGACTGCCACTTTTTGCAGGCAAAGTGCCATGTCGGCAAAAAGCGGCGGCCATTTTTATTCTAATGAAGCGTGGTATATTTAAATCCCCGCTTCATTAGCCATTTCAGTATGTCTAATTTACATCCCTCTGGCGACAGAGGGATGTAGTCTAGTCTAGACGTACCCTAACTGCATTACAATATTTACAATACTTTGAGGTTCCAGCCTAAACATGTAATTTGCAAGTGTCACCACCCTGCAAACTCTCAGTTAAAGTCCATCATATCTAGTTTGCCTAAAACAGGGGGGCCACCAGCCCCGTTAAGACCTGCCCTCGCGCAGCTCATTGCTCCAATGCCCCACCCCCACATGGCCTTCCACTTTACAAATGATGGGGCCATCATCCCTTAGGTGCCTCACTCCAGCACCGCTCTCTCCAACTCTCCTGTTTGTTTGGCCCTCTTTGCTAGCTCCCTTGGGGTACGTCTAGACTACAGGCTTTTGTCGACAGAAGTTTTGTCGACAGATACTGTCGACAAAGCCTCTGTCGACAAAGAGCGTCTAGACGACGTTCCTCGTAGAATGAGGCAGTATTCCTCATGGAATAAGGTTTACCGCCGTCGACAAAACTGCTGAGTTCTGTCGACGTTATGTCAAAAGAACTCAGGGGCAGTGTAGATACAAGTATTGTTTTGTCAACAAAAGTTCACTTCTGTCGACAAAACCCTGTAGTCTAGACACACCCTTGGTCACGTAATGTGTCTCTTTTAAGCCCTTCCGCTTGGCATCAGCCTTTCGCCCTCATTAACCCCCAAGGGAACGTTCCACCAGAAGCAAACTCAAGGTTGGTCAAGGACGATGTAAGGTTCAAAGGACAGAAGGACAGATACCCACACAGCGGACAACGTGCAGGCCGGCTCTTCCATTTCGTACTCTGCGCTGCTGCTCCATTCTAGAGGGTTGTTGCCACAAAGTGAAGCTTTAAACAAAGGCCTGCATGATGCATCCCAGCTGAGAATGTACTCTCAAGACTTGACTTAAGCACGTAGTTTATTCCACTGCTGCTACAACCCTGACCCAAGATCTTTGCAACTGTTGTATGTAGTTGATTCCTGTATCGATTTTAACTTTCTTTCTTTCTTTCTTTCTTTCTTTCTTTCTTTCTTTCTAATTTTAACAAATCTTCAACATTTTATATTCTAAAGGACTGGCTACAGCATGATTTTGGGGTGAGATCTGTGTTATAAATTGACCCAGGAATGTTGCTGGTCCTTCGGAACTGGAAGAGTCTTTTGATTTGATGACATTGGTTTAATATCCGTAAGTAGTTTTAAGGGTGGTTGAAACAGAAGACCTGGAGTATCGAAGGGAATTGCTTGCATGACTTCTTGTTAGCCAGAACCCATTTTTACACCCACTTTTCCCTGCTTCCCTCTCGCCCCTGGAGAGCAGGGACAGCTCTCCAGCCCTTGTTGAGGTATGTCTACACTTGCACCGTCTTTCGAGAGAGGGATGCAAACGACGACATTCAAAATTGCAAATGAAGCTGGGATTTAAATATCCCGTGCTTCATTTGCATATTCACGTTATGGCGCTATTTCGAAACAACGGACACTGTTAAGACGCGGTTATTTCGAGAGAAAACCCTTCTCTCAAAATAACCCTTATTCCTCCTACACTGAGGTTTACCAAGTATCAGAGGGGTAGCCGTGTTAGTCTGAATCTGCAAAAGCGACGAGGAGTCCTGTGGCACCTTATAGACTAACTGCAGTGTAGGAGCATAAGCTTTCGTGGGCAAAGACCCACTTCGTCAGATGCATGTCTGACGAAGTGGGTCTTTGCCCACGAAAGCTTATGCTCCTACACTGAGGTTTACCAGTTATTTCGGGAGAAGGGTTTCTCTTGAAATAAGCGCATCTACACAGTGTCCGTTGTTTCGAAATAGCGCCATAACGCGAATATGCAAATGAAGCACGGGTTATTTAAATCCCGGCTTCATTTGCAATTTGGAAGGTCGTCATTTGCATCCCTCTCTCGAAAGAGGAGGCAAGTGGAGACATACCCAAAGAGGTGGGATAGGGAAAATGCTCAGAGAGATTCCCCACTAGTGACTTGAGCCATCCTTCTTTGGACCATCTGCAGGAGAACCCTCAGTCTCCCAGCCTCCAGAGCTAAAGCTCCCCCCTTTCTCCTCCATCAGTTTGCCTGAAAGTGTAGAGCGCTGACGAGGCTGGCGGCGCTGACGAGGCTGTCCTCTGGAGCTCCCTCCTTGCCACTGAGTCCTAAAAGCCGTCGATCAAGTCTAGATGCTGGACAATCCGCTGTCTTCCCTGGACTCTGCTCTCAAACGAGATCCCAGACAGACCCTCTCTTGAAAGGGACCAGCAACTCCATACCACCCCTAAACCGACATCCACCGTCGTCCACATGGACTATGACAGCTCTCGAGGTAGGTTTTCACTTGGTGCCCATCACCGGGGTATCTGAAGACCAAGGATCCGGGTGCCACTTGCCATGGGGGGAGGCAGTCGCTTGCCTCTCTTCACAGGAGCCTGCCTTTCTGATTTCGTTTCATCGAAAGCAGCAGGCGCGCTGAGGAGCAGGGCGTGCTCGCTCCAGAAAGCTGAACAGCTGGAGCTCTGCGTGTGTCGTTCAAACGGTCCAAACGCTCGACGTGGACACAGACACGTCAGCATAAAGGGGCTTCACGCCGGTGTAGCGAGGGGAATAAGCGACATCGGTGTCAGGCCCTTTTAGGAGGCTAGAACGACCCGCACTAGGAGTGGTGCTGGGACAATTACTGAGGCAGGAAGAAATACAGAAATGCAGCCCAGTGGGTGGGGGGCTCAGGGCAGAAACGTGGGGACGTACAGGAGTCAGGGCAGGAGGCTGGGTGTGTGGAGGGGTCATGTCAGGGGCTTGAGAGGAATGAGGGGTTCAGGTAAGATGTGGGGTGCAGGGGTCAGGGCAGGCGGTTGGGGGCGAGGGGTACATGAGTCAAGGCAGTAAGTTGGGTGTGGGGGGATAGGACAGGCGGTGGGGGGCTCAGGGCAAAGCGGGGGGGGCAGGAGTAAGGAGGGGTCGATGGGGTGGG